AAAATCTTGACATGAAAGGGCAAAGACAACTACGAAGCTCGATGCTGATTAAGCCAGCTTGGAATGCGCCATGCATTCCGCTTCCATTCACAGTCGTGACACCCAAGTGCGACCTGGCTCACAAAATGATTTGGAAGAGAAGATAGCCGACGCACAAAACGCCATTTTCATCCTTCAAAAGAAGCCTAGTACCAATTGGAGATACGAAGTGGCGGAAGGCTTGGTTGTTCTAGAAGAGATTCGATCTAAGACTTGATTCCAGAACTGTGCGCGTGGTAGATAATGCCAGTTGCCGCCACACCACCCCATCCCTACCCTTATTACAGAAAAAAATGAGAGCAAGAGGATTCCTACAGAAGGAAAATGAGAGAAAAGGAATTTTGCGTCTAAACGGAATATTTTTTCACGTTTGATAATCACTTACCGCTTTCTTCACACGGAAAACCACTGCCGTTGAGAGCGGATGTTTGCACCAATTCAACGTCGGACTAATTGCACTAGCGATTTGCAACGCGGCATCAGACGAATACAGTAGGCAAGCCACCCAATCGCTTGGAAATGACAGTGCTGCATCATGTTGAGAGCTTTGCGCCAAAGACTGCAATAAAATAAGTAGATTACATCCTAGTTCAGAGCAAATACACTGAATCTCACCTTTAAAATCGAATGAACCCTATATAAGTGTTTATTCTGTTCAAACAACGCTGCAACAGAGAATTCGCTCAGTTGACTGGCAGCCAAACTCTGCAGGGCTTGAATCCATTCGCAGTTTTCAAGTGAGAGTCTCTGAACATTGAAAATTTGAAGACAAGCTATCACAATAGTCTGCTAATGAGATGATGAGACTGTGATAGAGTAACCTACTATGACAGCTTTTGCACAAAAGAGGGATGCTCGCCGATCTCTTGAAGCCCAGAAGGATCACTATCAATCCACAGAAAGCCATAAAATAGAGTTCACCATAAAAGAGAACATTTTCTATTGCTCCTTTTAGCTACTCTGATTGCTGAAGGTGGCGATACCGTGCTTATCAGAAAGGTGTCGAGTCACGAATAAACCTGCTTGGACCTGCCTAATGTTTCCCTGGCGTTGTGCTCATAGCACTGCTGAAATAAGGTGGGTGAAGTGTGCCGCAAGTTGCGCCATTTAGCATGCTTATGGTTCAAAAGTCCCAATTTCAACTTGAGTTCCGCCGATGTGCACAAGCTCAGGTTGGCTACTTGGTATCGGACTTGCATGGAAGTTAGAATGATTGACCTGCACATTGGCTAGGCCTTCACAAGCTATTTATAGGCCAAATCGCTTTCAAGGATCGCTTGCAGGAATATTGGTGAGTTGGAGTGTCTAGACTGGTCAACATTCGCAAGAGGATCTGTGAACTACCTGAACTCAGTTCTTTGAACCCCCTCGATTTGACGCTCCGGCCTGTGCTCTATCGCCTGAACACGGTCACGACTACTGGTTCTCATACATTCAGACTTTGCCATTCTGTAATTGGCTCATCCACCGCATCCATTCCCCTCCAAGGCTAAGTCTTAGGACTCACACCGTCCTCCTCAGGAATGGCGAGCCGAGCCATGCACCATTCTCATATCGTCACTCCTCTAGCTATTCGCGGTAGGACCACTGAGGAAAGTTCAGATAGTCCGTAAACCCGCGGGAGGGCACCCTCCCAAAGCTCGTGGTCAGAATCACACCGTTGTCGCCTTAAGAGGACGGGGCGAAAAACTTCCAAAATTTTCCCAGCGGTGGTGGCTGAAGCCTGTTCCATCCGGAGTCCGGAGAGTATCGCCCTCCGCATAACTTCGCAAGCTCGAATTCAAGTCGGTGATTGCCTGCGGCTCCACGCTGGCGTATCAGCTTCGAGAGTTTCCGGAGACAGACGTCCCTTGGTGACTTTCAAACTCTCTGCCTTCTTGCCACAATCGTGAAGATGTTCAACGAGCCGATAGATATTCCTCGTCGATGTTTTCGATAACGGAATCCTCCCATAAGCTGACAAGAGAAGTGAAGTGATCCCAGTTGATGACTGTCCTGGGGCTTCGCTTCCTGAACTTTGAGGCTCTTCTAGCCTATGAAGAACTATCATGTATTATACAGCAAAAAAAGGGCAAGAGTTAAGTAAAAGACCAATAAATGATTTCTCACATCAGTACAGATAGCTTCCAGATTTGGTAATGCTGCTCTCCTCCAGTGACCATTTCGAAATGCAACTCGAGCGATGACGTATCGATCAAGATCGGTTCCTTTCATTAATGCGTCTATGTCATCCGGGAGATGAATCGACGGTGCCAACAGTAGATACGCTAAAGCAGTGCTGGATAGTCGACTCTGAAATGGGAGACGTCATCTGCAGAAAATTCGACTCTGCAATGGGAGACGTCATTGCAGGATTTTGAGAACGATTAAAAAATACCAGAAAGCATAATGAAAAGATGAAAAGGCGGAAAGATTTGTAAAGAAGCTGACCTCTTTGACAACGACGCTTCTCGCCCAGTGATGTAGTTTCGGTACCACAAATGGTAGACGACTTGCTATTTGGCAGCAGAACTCTATCAGTTGAGTTATGTTTGCATGGCTTATGGGAATTTTCAGTATACTGTCCAATAGAGATAGAACTTGTTCCGGTGCCACCTCACTACAGCACAGGAAACGGCCAAGAGTTCGATAGAGCTGAAAGAGGACTAATAGCCGCTGGTTTGGCCCGCCGCAGACGCAAATGAGGGCGCCAATACATTGGCGTAGTCGAGGCGCACGCGTCGCGGGCAGCAGATGGGGGTACCGACGGAGGCCCGGTCGCGTGGCGAGAAAGAAGAGACGCAGACAGCCGTAAGCGGACTAGTCGCAGCAGCCGTACTGGCCGAGTGATTTTGCGTCAGACTAATGCATGCAACTCGTCCGCTGGCCCGTTTGTGTCTCTGACTTCTCTCCGCGCAACGGGCCTCTTGTCGGGTATCTCGGAGTAGATGGCTCATATATACCAGTAACAGCCGCCACTTTAGAGCAGCTGAGCTAGCCTCCGCAGCTGTGTGCTAATCCTCCTCATATTTTGACCTTACCTTATTTTGGTGGACGAAGAGGAAAATTGCTTACCTTTATTGCCAGCTTGGTTGGTAATTTCAGATTCTATCGTAATCAGAAAATGGTCGCCACACATCTGCCATTTCCGTTCATTCGGGTACTCGACAAAGAATGTTGCAACTCATTTGTAAGAAACGAATACGCATTTCCATGCACTCACTCTGCCCAAGGTTTCCTAGTTCGCTCAGTGTTTCTGAAAATGCACAGAGTTCATTTATGACATTAAAACAAACGTAAAGCTCAGACAATCTTTCCTTCTGGAACCTCTGACTCTCCTCCAAAGTTGCTAACACAGTTATTCCTTCACGCAAATAAGGGCCAGGTCACACTGACAACTCAGTTTGCATTTCGAGTCTGAGGCACACATGTACCGATCGTGCGATATTGCAGTCGTGCGATCGCGCGATCGCATGATCGATACGTAGTATTCACGTTCGTTGCAACCGAACTGCAAAGAATGAGCCGACCCTTCATCGCCCGTCGATGTTGCTTCTTGTCATTGCTGCGACTGTCGTCACTTTTCGCTTGCAGACAGTCGTTGCGGTCGCCTATCGCTGCTCATAATCATCGCCCCATCATTCGCTTAAGGGCAAGCTTTCGCGGATAAACTGGCATGGGAGGCGGGGCTTGCCGACAAAGGTGTGAGATGCCATCGGACGAGCTTCTAGCGCCGCTGTCGCGCACTTTCATAGCGCAAAACAGGCGCGCACTTCTCCGCTTGTCTACCGCCTCTAGTGATGGGACAGGTGAGCGCTCCTAATCAAGCACGTGCCTTTAAATTGTACCATCTATTGCACAACCCATAATATCCATGACCCCTATAAGATACGTTCCAGCGCAATAAAGATTGTCTGCAAAATTTTACCTTTCGATAAATTACAGTGGTGTGGAGTACGATTATTTTGATCCCCTTCGTATTAGCTGCACCTCCTAAGCGGTAACCTCCATCCCTGATCGCCTTCGATACGTTCTCATTGCAACTCAAATTCAATGCTTCACAATCAAAATACTTTTTTACACATATAATGAAAAAGAACTCTATTAGGCGTCTATTCTCCAAAAGTCCTTCACTTTTCGAAAACTTTTGCAGCGCCTTCGCAGCTTACCTTCAAGTCTGGAAACAATCGGTTCTGACACTTATCTGGCCCCGAACACATCAGAAATCATTTGCTTGCATAGGGCTGCTCTGCAGAAGTTTGTAAAATGTGGGACTTATTTTCAAAACGCAGAAAACACATTTCAACGCAGAAAACACACCATATAATCCCATGATCAGGCCCGGACGAGCTCTCTTTGTCAATCCTACGAGAACGTCCAAATACTGTTGATACGTCTTCGGATTCGATGAAACTCTTGATTTTAGCTGATGAAGCTTCTGAAAGATATAGAATGAATGAGTTTGGTGACACGTTAACTAGAAAATACCATTTTAGTTCATAAGAGCAGCCTGCAACTACCGTAAGCCAAACGCATATAAAACCATCAGCCCAAACGCGTAGTTTAATAAAAAGGTAGTGGTCAGCACTCTGCTTTTAACTCTGCATCAGAAACAATTCGCCGCTCAAGTTCACCTTTAAATGATCCTCTCTCCACACATGCGAATGTTTTGCCAGCCGTGCAATGTTGTGTAGTGTCGACATGCAGACAGGGAAATTATCACCGTGGCATCCGGATACCACACCCATAAGGATATCGAGCTGTAAATGAGCAGATTGAACGTTAAATCTCTGCTTATCTTATTAACGAGACAAAAATGCCACCTGCTCTGGGATTGGCATAACGTGTCGCTTCCGCCAGGGTTGTTGTAGAGTCCAACAAGGGGCAAATGAGCTCGTTCAATGTAGATGTTTCAAGAAGACGGGTTGTCAGAGAGAAAACTTCCTGAAGTAGCAATTACTTAGGCTCATTAACTGGTTTCACTAGGCATATGGTAAACTGGGGGCTTCTACTGCGACGTCTTCGCCTCTCCTGCCTCTAAAATTCACTTCACGAACCATGACCGTCCCCTTGAGTCTGTGACGGACCAGAGAAGAAAAACTTCTTTTCTTTAATTCTGTTATAGTTGTCAGGATCCATGAGAGATCTCCGCTCCCTCCTAGCGCATGACTTTGATTCCCTCTCCCACTTATTCTAGCTTCATTGAACGACTGTAGGGTTTCCATTGAAAGAGAGCGAAAAACTTCCATGGCACTTACTTAGGGATTAGTTTAATCTATCGTAAGAGTAACCTGCCTCAATAAGTAGACAGTAGTAACCATACCTTCACCGACGCTACAGTTGCTTTCATGTTGGCGAACACTTGTACAAGTTGAGCCTTGCGTTCATACGTTGTTTCTTCGGCTAGTAATAATTCGGACAGCTGTCCAATAATTGTACTTGAGAAATCGCTGCAAAAACTCTGACATCATGACACACCGCAAACGGGACGAGCCGCTTGATTTGAGCTTATTTCAAGGGATATCATTCATTTGTCAGAAAAATAAACTTTTTTGATTAGGTAAACATCCACTTCTCATAGTCTTACAATAGTTGACCATCTTCGCGTGCGTAGCTTCATC